CAGAAGAACAAAATTCTACAGGAAGTTAGAGAAAAGAAACAAATCACCTACAAAGGAAAGCCCATCAGAATCACAGCAGACTTCTCAACACACACACTCAACTCAAGGAGAGCCTGGAGTGAAGTATTTCAAGCCCTAAAAGAAAATAACTTCCAACCTAGACAGTTGTATCCTGCAAAATTATGTTTCAAAATTGATGGGGAAATTAGATACTTCCGTGACAAAGAACACCTGAGAAATTTCATGAACACCAAACCAGCAATACAAGCAATTCTAAACAGTATCCTAGAAAAAAACAATGAAGGTCACAACTCCATGAGGCCCAAAAGAGGGAAACCACCAGGCAAGGTAAGAAACTAAAGGGAAAGGGGGGGAAATAAATAAAAGAGTCAACAAAAATAAAACATCATGACAAGGATGAATCAATATCTATCAATTATAACCATCAATGTTAATGGCTTCAATTCACCAATCAAAAGAAATAGATTGGCAGAATGGATTAAGAAGCAAAATCCAACAATATGCTCTATACAAGAAACACACCGAACTCAAAAATTCATAGACTGAAAGTAAAAGGATGGACAACAGTTCTCCATGCCACAGGAACCCAGAAAAAAGCAGGGGTAGCAATATTATTTGCAGACAAAGTAGATTTCAAACCAAAACTAATTAAGAGAGACAAGGATGGTCACTACATCCTTGTGAAGGAAACAATCCAAGAGGAAGAGATGACAATCCTAAATATATATGCACTAAATACGAATGCCCCCAACTATACAAAACAAATATTAATGGACATGTAAAACCAAATAAGCACTAACACAATTGCAGTGGGGGACCTCAATACCCCACTATCACAAATAGACAGATCATCTAGACAAAAACTTAAGGAAATTCTAGAACTGAACCAAGTTATTGAACAAATGGACTTAATAGATGTTTACAGAGTGTTCCACCCCACAAAATCAGAATGCACATTCTTTTTGGCTGGACATGGGTCATTCTCCAGAATAGACCACATGCTAGCTCATAGGGCATGTCTAAGTAAATGTAAAAGAATTGAAGTTACCCCCTGTATATTATGAGACCATAGTGCAATAAAATTGGAAATCAATAACATAAGAAACTGCAAAACCCCCACAAACACATGGAAACTGAATAACACCCTCCTGAACAACCAAAGGATCACAGAGGAAATGAAAGAAGAAATTAAATAGTTTCTACAAGTAAGTGATAATGCCAGTACAACATACAGGAATCTATGGGACACAACGAAAGCAGTTCTATGTGGGAAATTCATAGCAGTGAATGCCCATATTAGGAAAACAGAGAGAACTCAGATAAATAACCTAATGCAGAGCCTCAAGCTCCTAGAAAAAGAAGAGCATAACGAATCCAAAGCTCATACAAGAGAGGAAATTATAAAAATCAGAGCAGAAATCAATGCAATGGAGACTAAGAGAAGGATACAAAAAAATCAATGAATCCTCTGATGTCTTGTTGGTGCTTAAGATGCTTTTTTAAGTTATACGGAAAAATGTTTAAGCTTTTCAGTTTTGTTTTGGTTGAGTTCTACTGTATTTGAATATTATTGTAGTTTTTTCCCCCTTGCATTGTTCTTCTTTGAATGGTTTCCTCAGGGGCCTGCAAACTCCAAGATGAGTCCTGTGCGGAGGCGCCGCTTCCTAAAACTTCAGTGGTGACAGGGAGGAGACAGCGGGGGCTGTAGCTCCAAAGAGAACACGAGTTGAGGTTCGGGGAGGCTCCAGAAGGCGGAGGGTGCAGGTGTGGGAGAAAGGAGTTAATCCCTGGAAAGATGTCTTGCAGAGGCGGAGGGCTATTTATCTCGGACAAAACATGGCTTAGTTCAACAAGCTGAAGAATCACTGGGCAATGACTTAACTTCAAAGAAAATATCACTGGCCAGAATCAAGTCAAGACCGGTCTCCTGGAGAAGGCTGGCGGCTTTGCCGTGGGTTTTCTCCCTCATGGCGGAGTTTGTCTCATCCCTGGCTTTACTGAAGGTCATGGGGAAGACCTCCGTGTGGTACAGACTCTGGGCCTCGAACGTGGCCCGCGAAGAGCAGGCTGCCCACGTCGCTGTGGCGCCCCCGGCGGCGGGCAGGAGCGCCTGCAGGAGCCGGCTGTGGTGCTCCTGCGCCCCTGCGTCCCGGACTGGCGAGGCCCAAGCCCAGGCCCTGCAGGATCTGGGTGCGGCATCCGGCTTGGCCTGCAGCGCCAGCAGCGTGAGCAGGATGGAGAAGCGAAGAGGGGAGAAGAGCACCTTCCCGCCCGGGCTGAGGGCCGCCAAGCATCTGCACGGGCTGAAGGCCAAGTGGGAAGCGTTCAGGAAGGTCGAGGAGGCCGACAGGTTCGCTGGTGGTGTGGGGTTTTCCTGGCCAGCCGCTCCTTGGCCACAGGCAGGACTCAGCCAGGCCACCAGCAGACACAGGGCAAGCATGGGGTGCGACATCCTCGACCAGGAAACAGAGCTGCCACCCTACTCATCCGCGCCGCCCAGCTCAGCGCGCTGCCCCCGACAGCTTCTTGCCGCCCAGGCTCCTCCACTGGCTCAGAGGGTCAGTGTGGGGGCGGGGGGGGGGGCTCGCAGGCACCGGGAGCCCGGGTGCTGCAGCCTGGGCTATGGAGGCAGCAGACCTGGATTCGGAGCCGGAGCCCGGCTCGCGCCTCTGGTCAACATCAGACACCTTCCTGCCCGGCCTAGAGGTGGCGGCCGCTGGGTGAGGCCTGACGTGAGAGCGCAGCGGGTGAAACAGCAGAAACGCAGTGAGACAGCGTTAGTTAGAACTAAAGGGCCCTGCTGCACCCGCAGGCTTCTTTAGATTCAGTTACAGTAGTACCACGTGCCCCGGGCATGGTGATGCACCCCTGTAATCCCAGCACCCGGGGAGGAAGAGGCAGGAGGGCTGCATGTTTGAGCCCACTCTGGGCAATTCACAGACCCTATCTTGTTGTGCCCAGATCTCGAAGTCCCCAAAGACCACCAAGGAGCTGATTCCGATGCAAATGCACGAGGGTCGTTTATTCAAGCTCAAGCAGGGACTCTCAACTGTCACCGACGCAGCGGGTCGAGATTGAGAGCCCCGAATTTCAAATTAGTGGGGTTTTTATAGAGGTTACAGCAAGGTTTGGAGATTTTTCACTTAGTAGTTACATGATTGGTTGACAATTAGCAAGCGTGAAGTGTACATTTCTGATTGGCTAGGTGCATCGGGGGTTGAGGGGTGGCTACATGTAGGTTTTATGAGGGAAAAGAGGGACAAAGGTTAGTGGCCGACTGTCACATACTGATGGTCAGCAGACACACTGACTAATAGTCACGACTATTACGTACTGACAGTCAGCACATCTACAGATTGTTCTATGGATAGTGGGCCCGGAACATTCATTTCCTGGGCAAACAGATGGCTGAGTAATTAACTCAGGAACTTTGCTTCGTTACACATTGTATCTTTTGTCCCAAAGCAAGCACCTTTTAACCATTAATTTGTGAGAGACTAGGGGAATAGTGGATTTTAGCAAAATGGAGTCACTTTGGTCTCACATTCCCGCCTTCTCATGATGCTATAGAGAACCAATCATGGGCCTCTGGGGGTTAGTTTTATTAAGTCTGTAGAAACTGGCTGGTATTGGGACCTGAGTACCATTAGTTGTACAGTATTAATGCGTTCTCTAATGAATGAAACTAATCTATTGAGTATACAAGGCCCAAGGGTTAACAATAGTGACAGAATAAGCAAGGGGCCCAGTAGGGTAGAGATCAGAGTAGTTAGCCACGGGGAGGAATTAAACCAGGATTCAAACCAGTTTTGAGTTTGTTCTCGTTCTCGCTTTCGCCTAGCGATACCCTCTCTAACTTTGGCCATAGATTCTTTGACCACCCCTGAGTGGTCTACATAGAAACAACATTCTTCACCTAAGGCAATGCAGAGTCCTCCCTGTTGAAGAAAAATTAAATCTAGCCCCCTTCGGTTTTGGAGGAGCACCTCTGGCCAGTGAGGTTAGAGACTCTTGCAGGTGGGAGATTGAGCTTTCTAGCCTCTCAATGTCTATACCTACGGCTGCCCTCAAATCATTGTAATGTTTATTTTGTAACAGTAATGATGAGACCCCTGTTCCTGCCCCAGCTAATCCTAAACCTAAGAGAACTGTCAAAGTGATGGCTGTCATAGGCTCTCGTTTAACTCTGGCTGAGAACTCAATCAAGCGATTGAAAATATCTTCTTCCGAGTGGTATAATAGTCTAGGAACTAATTGCACTAGCACACAAAAGTCTCCAGTCTGGTTGAGCACCTTCCCATGTGCACAAGGGCTAAGTCCTGTGGAGCATGCCCACCATCCATCAGAAGGGGGTATGAGGTATTTTTCTGAGCTAGACCGATAGGTTTGGTTGCAAAGGTGTTGATGAGTGGCTGGGACACTACCAACACAAATTCCCTGTCCAGTCACAGATTGTAGGGTTAGCCTGGCTGTCCCCTTCTGTTGCCACCTGCATACAGTAGGACTGTCTGACTCAGTAAAGTTTCCTGAGAAAGCTATTCCCTCATAATAAGGGGGCTTAATGTCATAACATAGCCAACAAGACTGAGTAAGATCTGGTCTGGAGGCATTAAGGGCCTTGAAGGTGTGGACCACTAGTCCCCAAAGGGGTTCCTGGTCTGGGTTGAGGTTGACCAGGGGGCCCTGGGTGGCAACCTGACAGGGAAGCCGGGACACGGGTGGAGGCGTGGGAGGCTTCGGGTGCATGGGTGAGGTTCCCTGGGGAGAGGGCTTGGTGGGTCTAGGAGGAGCCGGGGGAACCAGTGGGACTAGTGCAGAATTTGGCCCAACTGGTTGGGGAGGCCCTGCAATATACGGTTCTATCTTTAGTCTTACAGTGAACAATAGCCCATTGTCATGACCATCCTGATATAGGCGGAGTCCCCATGTTCGGCCCGATTCCCATCTGGTATATCTTTTACCTTGGTCAGTAAATGAAAGTCTAACTGGGTTATAGAGGAATCCTGTGCGTGGACCACTAAGGACCATGACGTTACCATTACTGCAGCTTGTTTGAAGGCCGGGGGGCCCAGGGACTCTTTTTAAAGAAATTAAATCGCCGGTGACAGGCAGAGCCCATGAGATGGCACCCATGGACTCACATCCCCATTTTGCACAATAGAACTCATCAATTCCTCCACATTTTTCCACTTGAGATTATGAGCGTCCTTCTTCCGGGCAGACATAGAAAGGGGTGTTTCGCAAAACATTTCTCTCAGTGGGTCGGCCACACCCAGGGTCTAATCTTTTTGGAGCCATGGGTAGGGACACCCAAGGGGGGGTTAGATTTTTATCGCATTCGGTGTTACCTGCTTTACATATGGGCTTACCCTGGGGTCCGATTTCCCAGTCTCCGATGGTCCAGGTCCCTGCAGCGAGTCGACACAGATCAAAGTCCAGGGTGGGCCACCAGGTCAGCGGTGGCGTCACTTTAGATGTACTGTTGACAATGTCACCCGTGGATGTACTAATGATCATCCAAGATAAATTCAGGGGAGCATGTGGGTTCTGTCTCCCCAACACTGGTGTTAAGAGTACAGTTACCATAATTATGACTGACGACAATGCAGCTTGAGTTTGAGTGGGTTGTCTCGGTCTTTGGACACTTGCCATGATGGGATGAAGTCTTCTAGAATGGCATGTGGATCTGCGGGGCGGACGTGAGTGTAGTGTACCCACGAGGCAATTCTGTCGACCTTGAGAGTGGTGGGCGTGGTCAGGACAGTAACATAGGGTCCTTTCTAACGAGGCTCAAGGTCCTTCTGCTGATGTCGCCAGACAAAGACCCAGTCTCCTGGTCGGTAGCAATGAGTCTCAGGAGGTGGTCCAGACTCATACAGAGCTTTCAGTTTAGGCCAGATGTCTTCATGAACACGCTGAAGGCTTTTTAAAGAGGATAACAATTCTTGGTCATCAAATTCAACAAGCACATTTGATTGGAGGTTGGGGACAATGGGAGGGGGAATTCCAAACATAATCTCAAAGGGGGTTAGTCCCATCTTATAGGGTGAATTACGTACCCTATAGAGGGCAAAGGGAAGGAGAGCCACCCAGTCACCGCCAGTCTCTATGGTTAACTTAGTTAAGGTCTCTTTTAGGGTCCTGTTCATTCTCTCTACCTGTCCTGAACTTTGGGGCCTATATGCACAATGTAATTTCCAATTTGCCCCCAGGACCTGCACTAAACTCTGACTCACCTTGGAGATGAAAGCAGGTCCATTGTCTGACCCTAGCATGACTGGGAAACCATACCTTGGCAAGATGTCTTCTAACATCTTCTTGACCACAATTCATGCTGTCTCATGTTTGGTAGGAAAAGCTTCTGTCCATCCTGAAAAAGTGTCTACAAAAACTAGTAGGTACTTATAACCATACCTTCCAGGTTTTACCTCAGTGAAGTCCAATTCCCAGTATGCTCCAGGCCGGTTCCCTCTCAGCCTGTTGCCTGGGTTGGTTTTATAGTGGGTAGCATTTGTCAATTGACAGGCTTTGCAGGTGGCAACGATATGCTCAATTTTGGAGTTAGCATCTCGAACCTTTATTTCAGCATGTCTCAGGAGGTCTTGCATCTTTCGAGTGCCCATGTGGGTGCCCTGGTGCATTTTGGAGAGAACTTGTTCTCCCAGTGCTTCAGGCAGGATGACTTTACAATCAGAGGATTTCCACCACCTGTTGAGGCACCGGGGCATAGGTAATTGTTTTACCCACTTTAAATCTTCTTCAGTATACTGGGGTTTTTCTGGCAAGGCAGCACTTCCTGGATCAGGCAGCTGATTGGTTAAGGTTAAATTAGCCTCTAGGCCTACTTTTCAGGCTGTCTGATCACCTAGGTTATTTCCTCTAGCAACCGGAGTGTCACTTTTTTGGTGTCCTAGGCAATGAATAATGGCCAATTTCTTTGGTAGCCAGAGGGCCGTCAAAAGGGCAAGGATCTCCTCTTTGTTTTTGATAGTCCTCCCCTCGGCTGTCAATAGTCCTCTCTCCCTGTAGATGGCCCCATGGATGTGTGCGGTGGCAAAGGTGTACCGGCTGTCTGTATATATGTTTAACTTTTGGCCCTTCCCTAGAGTCAATGCTTTGGTCAGAGCTATGAGCTCCGCCCATTGTGCTGAGGTCCCAGTGGGCAATGGTTCTGCCCAAATGACCTCAGTTTCCATCACCACAGCTGCCCCGGCGTACCTGTGGCCATCCTGAACAAAGCTGCTCCCATCAGTATACCAGGTATTTTCAGCATCTGGCCATGGCTGGTCTCTCAGATCAGCTCGAGTCCCATGTACCTGAGCCAGGATATCAGCACAGTTGTGGAGTGGAGTTTCTAAGTCCGGGTCTGGCAACAGTGTAGCTGGATTTAAGGCAGCTGGGGTCTGAAAAACAACTCAGGTTGGGTTTAGAAGTAAGCCCTGGTAGTGGGTCAGGAGGGCATTACTGAGCCATCGATCCGGAGGCTGTTTTAGGACTCCCTCAATAGCGTGGGGGGTGGTCATGTACAGTTCTTGGCCCAGTGTTAACTTGTCAGCATCTTTGACCATCAGGGCCACTGCCGAGATCATCCTTAAACATGGGGGCCATCTGGACGCAACTGGATTGAGTTTTTTTGATAGGTATGCCACTGGATGGTGCCATGGCCCTAGGTATTGGACTACGATGCCCTTGGCAACTCCCTTGTTCTCATCAATGTAGAGGTGGAAGGGCTTAGTAACATCGGGCAAGCCCAAGGCTGGTGCTGACAACAAGGCAGCCTTAATTTGGTCAAAAGACTTTTGTAGTTTATCTGTCCATTGAAAGGCCTGATTGTCTTTAGTTGCCTCATAAAGGGGCCTCACAAGCTCCGCGAACCCCGGTATCCATAAGCAGCAGAAGCCAGCTGATCCCAAGAATTCTCTAACCTTTCAAGGGGAATCTGGTGCGGGCATCTTAAGAACTGTCTCTTTTCTAGCATCTGACAGCCATCTTTGCCCCTTTTTAAGCATATACCCCAGGTAGCTTACCTCAGGTTTACAGATTTAGGCCTTTTTGGCAGACGCCTGGTATCCCAGTTCCCCTATGACTGTTAAGAGTTTCTTGGTTCCATCTAAGCAGTCTTCCTGTGTCTCAGCTGCTATGAGGAGATCATCTACATATTGTAACAGAGTCAATTGGGGGTTTTGGAGGCGGAACTCACCCAGGTCCTCATGCAGGGCCTCATCGAAGATGGTGGGAGAACTTTTGAACCCCTGAGGTAACCGGGTCCAGGTCAACTGTCCGTTGAAGCCTTGTTCTGGGTCACTCCATTCAAATGCAAAGATATGCTGGCTTCTAGGTGCCAGCAGAAGGCTAAAGAAAGCATCTTTGAGGTCTAAGACTGTGTACCATTGATGGCTCAGGGGAAGTGAGCTCAGAAGGGTGTATGGATTAGGCACCATAGGGTGGATATCTATGACCCTCTTGTTCACCTCACAGAGGTCCTGTACTGGTCGATAGTCATTTGAGTGAGGTTTCTGCACCGGCAACAAGGGGATGTTCCAGGCCGATTGGCAGGGCCTCAGAATACCCTGAGTCAGCAACTTTCTGATGTGCGGAGTTATCTCTTCACGGGCCTCTAGGGACATGGGATATTGGCGAACTCGTGCAGGGTCCACTTCTGGCTTTATCTCTACAAACACAGGTGTCCTGTGTGTGGCCAGCCCCATGCCCCCAGTCTCAGCCCATGCTCGCGGGAACATGGCAAGCCATTGTTCCACGTCAGGATCAGGAGGGGACTGCTTCTGATATAGCAGATATTTGTCCTCAAGGCTCATAGTTAACACTTGGATGGGGTTTCTCTCTTGCACCCCCAGGCTGAAAATGGATTTGGGCTCCTAATTTAGTAAGCAAGTCTCTTCCAAGTAAAGGGTAGGGGCATTCGGGTATAATCATAAATGAGTGGGTTACCCAGCCCACTCCCAAGTCCACCATTCTTTGGGTAGTCCATGAATATTTTTTCATGCCTGTGTCTCCTTGAACCCAGGAAGTTTTGTCAGAAACATGACCATGTGGTTTAAGCAGAACTGAATGTTGAGCGCCGGTATCTACCAGGAACTCAATGGGCTCCCCCTCCACTTTAAGGGTTATCCTGGGCTCGGGGAGGGGCACCGAGCCCCATCCCCCCTAGTCACTTAGTTCGTCCATGGCCAGGACAGAGGCCTTTGGGTGGGCCCCCTGTGGCCTTTTGGGGCACTCTTTAGCCCAGTGGCCTTCCTCTTTGCCATAAGCACACTGGTTCTTTCCTAATTGGGGGCAATCCCTATGTCCCCCCTTACCTTGTCCTTCTGTTGCAATCTTTTTTAAATGACGTTCACATTCCCTCAGCTCTCCCACAGTGGTGGCCAGAAGAATTTGAGCCAAGTTTTGGGTCTGGCAGTCATCTGCTTTTATCTGTTTCTCCTCTGCGGTTTCCCTGTTGTTATATACCCTCTCCGCCACTGCCACTAAGTCCTGAATATTCTTCTCTCCTAACCTGTCTACTTTCTGTAACTTTCTCCTAATATCTGGTGCCACCTGGTTGACAAAATGCATTATTACAGCTGCCTTTGTCTCAGTTGCTTCTGGGTCCATAGGAGTATACCTATGGAAGGCTTCCTGAATTCTCTCTAGGAAGGCTGCAGGGCTTTCGTTCGGCCCCTGCTGTATATCTCCTACCTTGGCCAAATTGGTGGGCTTGCGAGCTGCCGCTTTGAGACCTCCCAACAGAGCCTGGTGATAGACCCGGAGTCTCTCCTTACCTTCTGCTGTGTTGAAGTCCCAATCGGGCCGAGACAAAGGAAAAGAAATGTTGATAGTGTCAACATTGGTGGTGGGTTGACCATTGTCGCCAGGAACCAATTTCCTGGCCTCGTTCTGGATTCTTTCGTGCTCCTCTGTTGTAAACAGGATCTGGAGGAGCTGCTGACAATCATCCCAAGTGGGATGATGAGTAAACAAAACAGTTTCTAATAGGTTAATCAAATCCCTAGGGTTATCGGAGAATTTGGCGTGCTGAGTATGCCAGTTATAAAGGTCACTGGTGGCGAAGGGCCAGTAATGATGAGGCTGGTTACCATGCTCATCAGGGGGCCCTATCACTCTCAGTGGACAAACAGTAGAGTCTGCTGGGCCCATTGGCGAGGCAGCACGCCGGTGGCGAGTGTTCTGGGTGGGGCCACCATGGTTGCCGGCACCCGGGGCCGGCCCTCCTTCCCCAGCTCCAGCTGGGCCCGGGTCCTCTCTTTCTGCCTGCTGCCTTGGGGGAGAAGAGAGAGAGTGTGTGGGGGGGATGAGATCTTCCTTGGTCCCTCCTTGGAGGACCGGGTAAAGTGGCATGGTCGGCTTGGTTTCAGTTTGCCTTTTTTCGTCATGCTCTCTGGGAGTCTTTTCACAGGCTGTCAGGATTACCTCTGGCTGCTGTTTCTGCGGAGGCAAAAAGGGCCTGACCCATGGGGGTGGGTCGCAGATTAGACTCTCCCAAGTGACAATGTAGGGAACTTGATCAGGGTGTCCTGTATGAGAACGGAAGACGACCTCCCGGACTCTCTTCATGGTCCCTAGATCAAAGGTCCCCGCGGGTGGCCATCCTACCCCAAAGGTGGGCCACTCCAAGCTACAGGGGTGATGAATTTAGTCCTTTTAATTTCTAAACTTAGGTTATGGGTGCACTCCCTAACCTTTTTGAAATGGTTCTTCATGAGGGATAGAGGGGTAGTCACAGTCTGTCCCATCGTCTCAGTCCAAGTCAACACAATAAACAGACAAACACAACAGAAAAACAAAAAGCAAGACAAAACCAGCCTCCGCCAGATAGGAGGCAATACTGAAAATGGGACGACGGCCTCACGCCGTACCGTGGGAGCGACCTGCACCGTCCCTCCAGGAGTCTCACAGACTCATACTCATGGGGCACTCCATCCCCTCCAGAAGGATCCGGAACGTCTTCCAGGATCCCAGGTTGGGGGCCCTCACAGCGCGTCCGCCTAGACCGTCTGCCGACCTACTCAGAATTGGACCCTCCCGTATTGCAGACAGACAACTTTATAAACACAGAGACACTCACCGGCCGGTACCGACCCTCCGGTTCGGGGTTCCTGGGAGTTTTGGGGATCCCGGATGAACCCCCAAATGTGCCCAGATCACGAAGTCCCCAGAGACCACCAAGGAGCCGATTCCAATGCAAACGCACGAGGGTCGTTTATTCAAGCTCGAGCAGGGACTCTTAACTGTCACCAACACAGCGGGTTGAGATTGAGAGCCCCGAATTTCAAATTAGTGGGGTTTTTATAGAGGTTACAGCAAGGTTTGGAGATTTTTCACTTAGTAGTTACATGATTGGCTGACAATTAGCAAGCGTGAAGTGTACATTTCTGATTGGCTAGGTGCATCGGGGGTTGAGGGGTGGCTACATGTAGGTTTTACGAGGGAAAAGAGGGACAAAGGTTAGTGGCCGACTGTCACATACTGATGGTCAGCAGACACACTGACTAATAGTCACGACTATTACGTACTGACAGTCAGCACATCTACAGATTGTTCTATGGATAGTGGGCCCGGAACATTCATTTCCTGGGCAAACAGATGGCTGAGTAATTAACTCAGGAACTTTGCTTCGTTACACATTGTATCTTTTGTCCCAAAGCAAGCACATTTTAACCATTAATTTGTGAGAGACTAGGGGAATAGTGGATTTTAGCAAAATAGAGTCACTTTGGTCTCACAATCTCAAGATTTAAAAAGGGGCTAAGGGATGTAGCTTAGTGTGAAGGCTCCAAGTTAAATCCCTAGTGCCACAAAAAGCACAATATGTTATGTTTAATATTTGAGTAATAGAAAGCGGAAGTTCAGTTCCTCTTGCCACCCGGCCAGGACCCTTCTGGTGCAGGCTCTGCCCCCTGGCTTCCCCTGGGGTTTGGTGTGGCATCCTGGCAGGAGAGGGGTGCCAGGTTTACACCACTCGCTGCTGCTCCAGCTCCAGCCTCTGACAGCAGGAGCACCCATGCCCGCTGGGCCTCAGGACGCCTCCTCCTGGCTCCTGCTCTCCAGCTCTCTGCTCCTCAGCTCAGGGACTGAGCCCTTTTTGTCCACCTCTGGTGCCTCCCACACCTCTCCTCAGTCTCTTCACTAAACTTCTGTCCCTGAGACATAAAGGACACTCTGTTAAATTTTCCATTTAATCTCACAACCAGCGCCTGCAAAAAGTCAGCCCCAGGGAGGCCAAGCAGCTTCCTCAAGGTTGACTGCCAGTCAGTGACGTAGCCAGGGTCTGCTACCTCCAAAGCCTGGCTATGTGCTATGCTGTGCTGGCTCCCCTTTCAGAGTGAGATGCCCTCCCCAGGAGGGTCCTCCTGAGAAAGCCCTCCAGGCCCTGTGACTCGCCACTGTGCAAGGCTGAGTGGCCTTAGCACTGCCTCCCTGTTGTCCATGGCCACCCAGAGAGAGCTGTCTCCACAGGGACACACACAGCACACCCTGGGGACCAGACTGGAAGCCAGGGAAGCAGTGCTTCTGTATGGGCCAAGCTGAGGAAACTGAGGTACCCATAGCACCCTCGAATCTGCCCTCCAGAGGCAGCTGTTCTGGGCTGAGGAGCTGAGAGGGTAGCAAATGTCACCTGCTGATCCTGGCAGTCATATCTCATGGAAGGTCAGCTTGTACCTTCCTTGGGTGAATGTTCTGGCTACAGTCTACGGTGGTCACTGCTGCATGGTGAACTTGAGGGACAGAGGCTGCTGAGCTGGCCTCACTGTTGGAGGGGACACGGCACAGGGTCAGGCTGAGGAGGAAGGACAGAGGTTGCTCCCTGCCAGGAAAGTGCTCTCCCTTTCCTGTACTCCCACCCCTGATGGTAAATCTTGACCATCAACTTGGTTGGCTTCAGACACATCTAGATAAGTAAAGCACACTTCTGATGTGTCTGGTGGATCACGGGGCATGACCTAGGGAACTATCTTGTCCCTGGCCTGTCCTCTCTGGCAGTTTTCCCTGTGCTCTGCTTCTCGGCTGTCATGATGTGAGCAACTTTGCTCCACCATGCCCTTCCACCATGATCTCTCTGCCTTGGAACCAGCTAACCATGGACTAAAACCTCTGAAACCATGAGTCAAATTAAGCCTTTCCTCCTTCATATTTTGGGTGTCAGGTATTTTATCCCAATGACAGGAGTGTTGATCACTACACCCATTTCCCCCTCCTTCCTCCTTCCCCTCCATCCATACACTTCAGAAGCACCTGCTCTATGTCCAATCCTGTGTGGGCAATGAGGGGGATTAGGGCAGAGTCCACCTGGCCACTGCCTTCAAGAACCATATCTTTCTTAAGGCCCTGGATGCCTGCCGTGTCCATCCCCAAATACTTCTGGGACAGGGTGCAGGTGAGGGTGTAGGAAAAAGTCTCAGCTGGGGAAACCCTGGACTGATGGGAACTAAGAGAACTCGGTAAGGTGGAGCCTCCTCTGCCAGGCACAGCAGAGGTCTGGCACTCGGTAGAGTCTGCTACAAGGATGTGGTCCTGAACGAGTCCTGAAGGATAGGCAGGATGTTCCATCCAGAAAGAGGGGAGAGGAGCACTGGCCAAGTGACATCCAGGCTGTGCCCCCCAGGACTCAGAGCATCACACTTGCACTATGCTCCTCCAGCCCTTCATCCCTGCTCCCTTGCCCAGGGCTCCAGGAATGAACAAGCCCAGGACCAACAGAGCAGTCGGGTGACAGGACTGATGATGGCAGTGACAACACATGCCTGCGTGGCAGCTGCTGTGATCTAGGTGCTGCGCATCTTCTAGGTTGTAGGATTTGTGCTGTGTGCTAAAACAGCCTCATGAAAAGGCATTGGTTTTATTTTGCAGATAAACCCAGGAAAGATTGAGTGATTTATTCAAAAGGAAATCACTGCCAGGTGTGGTGGAACACGTGTGTGATCCTAGCTACTTGGGAGGCTGAAGCAAGTTGCAAGTTCAAGGCCAGCCTGAACAATATAGAAAGACTCTATCTCAGAAAGAAAAGGTGGAGGCTGAGAGTGTAGCTCAGTACTCCCTGGGTTCAATGCCCATCGATCCCCAGGACCATAAAACAAACAAACTAACAAACAAGCAACACTATTTGTAGAGATGGCAGCAGGCTTGGCATGCTAAGCATGTGACAAACAGATCTCCATTCTACTGTAACAGGTGACTCCCTGGGCATAGTCCCACTCTGAGGCTGCTGCAGAGGTAAGAGGAGAACCTGAAGGGTGAGACTTGGTGAGACTCTCAGGTGCTGAAAGTCATTGATATAGCACAGTTTCAAGCTAAGATTAAAGCACACACACGCATGCGCACATGCACACAAACACACCAGACATCTAGGTTTTTTTCTTGGCTTACTAATTTTCCCTACAGTTTCTTTGGACACACTTTCTTGGGATGAAATGGCCAATGCTTTCTGTCTGATACGTCGACCTCAAGCAATTAGTAGGGGCTGCCTAGGAGACAGGATTGAGGAGGCATTTGAGACTGCATTTACTTATGGGTGGGTGCCTTCATCTGCTAACCATGACTGTCCTGGGAGTGGGCAAGGAAGTAGTAAAATAATTCACAAGTGGTCTGAATTTATCCTTCTCTGGGATGTTGCATTAGTAAGCTTTTTATTACAGTAATTAAATATGTTGGGCACAGTAACTTAGGAAAGAAGAGGTTTATTTAGTTCAAAGTTTTGGAGGTTCAAGGGCATGGTACTGGCACTAACTCAGTTCTGGCGATGACCTTCTTGCTGGCAGAGTCCTAAGGCGACCCATGGCATCACATAGCAAGGCATGGAGTTCATGTGTCTATGTCTGTGTCTGGTCCCCCTCCTTCTTATAAAGCCACCAGGAACTGATCATGGAGGCTCTACCTTAGTGACTTTATTTAACCCAGTGATTTTCCAAAGGTTCCACTCTAAACACCAGAATTGGGTTTAGTTTCCACTCTGTTAATGTCTTTGCCATATGACTTCAAGGATTAAACTCCTGCATGAGTGTGGGGGGCCAAACCATATTTAAACCATTTTATATAGCTAGGATATCAAAAAAAGTGGACAGAGGGCCAGGGATTTAGCTCAGTGGTTCCAGTGCCTGCCTCGCAAGCGCAAGGTCCCGAGTTTGATCCCTGGTACGGAAAAAAAAAAAAAAAGTGGACAGAGAGCAGATTCTGAGAACCAGGTTATTTAAAATAGTGACATTTCTAAAGTCAGGATCCTGATCCTACCCACAGGGAGGATGACAGATGTCTGGTATGGGAGAGAGGGATATAGAACAGTAGGGCAATTCATGATGTAGAAATGCATTACAGTAAAAGATCTCAAGTATTTACCACATAAAAACCTTGGAAGATACAAAATGAAGTTAATTTCTAGCCAAGAGAAAGATCAGACTTGTAACACCCAGGACCTGGGAGACATTCCAGAGATTGCATAGGACTGGATGGTAGATGGTTTCCTTCTAGGCTGCCATCATGGATCCACTCTACTGGTTCCTGGAGTGTTACCTTTTTTTTTTGGTACTGGGGATTGAACTCTGGACCTTTTGCTTGTGAGG